CACTGTGCCGGGACGAGCAGACCCCTTCTTCCCCGCCGGGGGACCCACCGAGCCTCGGTTTCCCCCGCGAGGCCGGGCGCACGGAGGTCCTGCCTGGGAGGCTCGGCTGTGCTCAGTTAGTGTGACCCCCTGTTACCCAGCCACGGGGGTGAGGGTGCGGACAGGGCGGAGGGAAGGGGAGCTTCAGGTCACCCGGCTGAGTGCCAGCACTTTGGGGATGGGGGGTGGGGGTGGGGTAGGGGGTTACGGGGACCGCTCACCAGGCCCCTGCCCAAAGGAGCCCATTCCCGCCCCCACCGCTGAGAACCAGAGGGGACGGGACGGCTTGTGGGAGGATTACAGCCTAATGCCCAGCAGGTCACTCCGAGGCTGCAGGAGGTGGTGCGGGCAGGGAGGAGAGAAGGGACCCGGGGCCCACCTGCCCGGCCTCGGCTCTCCTCAGCCCTCCTCAGCCCTCCTCGGCCCTGTCTCAGCCCGGCCTCAGCCCTCCTCGGCCCCTCCCCCCTCCACACGGGCTGGGCCCAGCTCGCCCGCACAGCTGCCAGCCTGTGTGCAGACAGATGTGAGTGAGGTGGCTGCCCCACCCGCGCTGTGGGTGGTGCCACGGGGCCGGACAGCAGGTGGCCTCCTGGGTCTCTTGCTGATCCTGGAGTTTGGAATCTGGAATTCACTCCTTGAGTGGCCTGGTTCCCCTCAGGATCGGGGCTGGGGACAGGCCCCCAGAGTCAGGGCCTCTCTGGGCCTCAGTTTCCCTCTGGGAGTGTTTCGTGGGGGCTTTAGGTTTCATTGTATCGTTAAAGGTTTGGGTGAGGGTTAGGTGAGAGGCTTGTGATCCATGTCCAATGATGCCAGGCCCTTGGGGGGCTGTGTGCCGTCACGGGCTCGGGGGGGAGACACACGGGTAACTGAGTGTCAGCAGGAGTGTGTGCGGGTCAGGGTTGGGGAGGGCCGGGGGAGGAGGGGTGCCAAGGTGGCAGGTGGTCACCGCCGCCCAGGGAGTTTGCAGGGAGAGAAGGAGTCACCTCTTTGGAAGGTGAAAAAGGAGGGAGGGGCGTTCACTTGGGAGGGGGAGCAGCAGGAGGCTCTTCAGGAAGCCGAGCGGCTGCCCAGTGCCCGTCACGCGCCCAGCCGTTCTCCTCACATGACGCTGGGGAGGCAGGGCCCCATCTCGGGAAGGGGGGCCCTAGGCAGTCTGACTCATTCCTCAAAAGCACGGCTCCTTCCTTCCCTCAGCTTCCCCGGGGCGGGAGGCAGGACGAGGACCTGGGGGGGGGGGGGGATGCTGGCCGGAGGCAGGCTCAGCCGCACTGGGCGGCCCACTGGTTAGGGAGGGAGGGCGCTCCCCGTGGTCACAGGTGTGCAGGTGGGGGCACAGCCAGGAGTGCTGCGGAGAGAGGGCTCTCCTCTCCCGGCTTCCGAGCTGCCTGTGCCTCCTTCACCCATCAGCCTCATCCCCTGCTCCCCTCTCCAGGGTGAGACGTACACCCAACAAGTGAACCACCAAATAGCACAATACAGAATAAAACCACGTGACGGCATCGTCAATAAAATAAATGGGGAATATTGTGGATCTGGGAGTCTGGTCTGGAGGGCTTCTCGGAGGCGGTGTCGCACACGGAGGTTTGGGAGTTGAGAAGGGCCCGGTGGGAGCCTGCAGGGAGGTCTGGGGCTCTCGGTCTCCCAGGCCTGGGGCACAGCCCACCGCAAAGGTCCGGGGCGGAACGAGCTGGGGAGGCCCAGAGAGGGCGGGGGGGAGAGGCGTCTGAGCCCCGAGGGGGAGGGCGTTTCCCTGGGAGTGTGGGTGGTGGTGGGATGGGGAGGGGGTGGTGACACCATCTGATTCGGGTTTAAAGAGACCTTTCCAGCCGCTGTGAAGGGACAGTGCAGGGCGGGATGGACACAAACTGGGAAGCTGCTGCCTCGCCCGGGAGGAGGCGCGGTGATTGGACAGTTACTCTGGGAGGAGGGAGCCAGGGCCTGGCTGCCCGACTGGGTAGGGTTTGAGGGGGAGCCCAGTGTGGGGTCTTAGCAGCGGGGTGGGAGCCAGGGGGATGGCCAGGGGAGAGACGAGGCGAGACCAGTGGCCCAAATGGGGGGGGTCTCAGAGCTCGCCCAGGGGAGGGACTGTCCCCTCGGCCGGGGGAGAGAGGGCTGGTGAGAGCCGGGCTGGTGAGAGCCGGGCTGGTGAGCGGGAGCTTCTTGGAGGAGACAAGCGCACCTGCTGTCCCTCACCCTGTCACCCCCCACCCTACCCCACACCTTCACAGAGAGAGGAGCCTTCCTGGTAGGTAAGCGGCATTGCCACCTGGAAGTGGGCAGCCCTCAAGGCTGCAGAGGGCAGAGGGGTGGCAGGTCAGCCTGCTGCTGCCTGTGGCAGGGGGCGAGGCCTGGGAACATGTCCCGTGCGGGGCGAGAGGGCAGCGCCGTGTGGGGCTGCGGCCAGACCTCTCTCCGCAGCTTGTCTGGGGAAGTTTAACGCCAGACAAGGGACGTTCTGGGCGAACGGCAGGGCCTCTGCCCCTCCCCCCTCCACACGGGCTGGGCCCAGCTCGCCCGCACAGCTGCCAGCCTGTGTGCAGACAGATGTGAGTGAGGTGGCTGCCCCACCCGCACTGTGGGTGGTGCCACGGGGCCGGACAGCAGGTGGCCTCCTGGGTCTCTTGCTGATCCTGGGGTTTGGAATCTGGAATTCACTCCTTGAGTGGCCTGGTTCCCCTCAGGATCGGGGCTGGGGACAGGCCCCCAGAGTCAGGGCCTCTCTGGGCCTCAGTTTCCCTCTGGGAGTGTTTCGTGGGTGCTTTAGGTTTCATTGTATCGTTAAAGGTTTGGGTGAGGGTTAGGTGAGAGGCTTGTGATCCATGTCCAGTGATGCCAGGCCCTTGGGGGGCTGTGTGCCGTCACGGGCTCGGGGGGGGGGAGACACTGAGTGTCAGCAGGAGTGTGTGCGGGTCAGGGTTGGGGAGGGCCGGGGGAGGAGGGGTGCCAAGGTGGCAGGTGGTCACCGCCGCCCAGGGAGTTTGCAGGGAGAGAAGGAGTCACCTCTTTGGAAGGTGAAAAAGGAGGGAGGGGCGTTCATTTGGGAGGGGGAGCAGCAGTCGGCCCCAGCCCCGGGGAGGCTGCGGGGGCTGGCCGTCCTCTGCTTCTCTCCGTCCCTGCATCCAGTGGGCCAAGATCCTGGGATTCTGAGATTCCACGGTTTCTTCCAGTTTGTTTTCCTGAGTTGGCACAGCTCTGCTCCGGGTGCCAGCTGGAATCCATTTTTAAAAAGTGCCAGGACTGGATTATAGAGATGGCAGAGAACAAAGAGCCTGGTGTGGCTGTTTACCTGGACGGGCCTTGTTTGTTTTGGTGTGTGTGTGTGTGTGTGTGTGTGTGTGTGAGCATTTCTCTGCAGCCAGGGAAGGTGTTCCTGTGCCTGCCAGCGACCCGCGGCCTCCCGCACCCTCCCTGCTCCCCCACTCCTGTCTGCGTCCCGCAGCAGACCTGCCAGTTAGGATGCATTCCCCTCGCCGCCGCCACTGCCACTGCCACCACCGCCACTGCCACCCCATTCCATTCTGGTTAATTTCCGGAGCTCCCTGGCAGCTGTGTGCGCCTGGCTGGCCCTACAGGTCTGGCCAGTCACCGGAGGCCATAGGCACCGGCGTGGATTCAGACTTGGGTTTGAGATCCGATTCCCGGAAGCAGCGGTAACAGGAGAATAAGGACGCGGCCCACGGGGGCTAATTAGGAGTCACTGAGGGCCCAGAGGGATCCCTCTTTGTCTTGCCTGGGCCGCCAGGGGGGAGGGACGGGAACCGAGGTGCAGGCCTCCCACTCCACGCAGGGCGCAGGCAGCTGAGCTGAGTCCTGGAGGGCGTCCGGGAGGCCACAGGGGCTGGTCGTGTGCCTTTGGCAGCTTTCCTTCCCTGCCCCGAGCCTCAGTTTCTCCGCTGTAGACTCCCAGGCCTGGTTCAGGTGCGGCTCCCCGTCCGGCCCAGCCTGCAGCCTGCAGGGACCGAATGCGCAGCCTCCGTTCTGACCGTCAGCCCCTCCCAGCCTGCTCTTCTCAGCAAGGGGCCCCCGCCTCCAATCTGTCATAGCTACCTGTGTCAGCCAGGGCCATGGGCTCACCTGACGCCTGAGGGGGGTCCATGTTCAAGTTCACTCACATGGTGCTGGCAGGACTCACTTCTCTGTGGCAGTGGGACTGAGAGTCTCAGGTCCCTTCTGGCTGTTGACCCTCAGTTCCTACCCAGGCAGGCCTTCCCAGGAGGCAGCTCGCCCATCGGAGGGAGCAGGCAGGAGGGGCCGAGAGCCAGAGTCACTAGTTTCCTCACAGAATGAGGTCCTGTCACTTTTTCCGTGTTCTGTGGCAGGTGCCCTGGGCCCGGCCCACAGACCAGGTGTGAGTACAGGAAGGGGGTCCTGGGCCATTGAGCTGGGTGCCGGCCAGACTGAAATGGTCCCGCTGGGTGACTCCCTCCTGGTGCTGCAGGCTCCCCTGGAATTGGCGGGATTGTGCCAGGGATTATTTCTCCGTTCATCGCTCCTTGCACGTGTCAGGGCCTGGACAGCAGGGGAGGGTGGGACCAGGGACAGACAGGTGGGGCCTGGGGCCTCTGTGGAGGGAAGGGGTGCACAGGATGGGGGTGGAGGCCGAGCAGGTTCCCTGCCCAGGAGCACAAGAGACCTAGAAGAAGCTTGGTGTCAGGTCCCAAGAGGCCTTCTCAGGACCTGGCTGACCCGGGGAGGGAGAGGAGGGTGATGGTGGTAGTGGGGGAGGGGGGAGCATATCTGCAGTGAAAGGGTCCTCAGATCTGGGGTTGAGGATGGAAGCATGGACCCTGCCCTGAGCTGTGTGACCCACGTCGGTTGCGCTCCCTCTCTGGGCCTCCCTCTGAAGACAGGCAGGCTGAGAGGCGCTGCTGGGGACCTCCCCCCAACCCCGGCTGCTCTGGGCGGGGCTGCGGGGCCTCACGCCTCCCGCCCTCCCCTCCCTGGCCCTCCCCGCCCCTCAGGTGTTCTCCATCGTGGTGTTCGGCTCCATCGTGAACGAGGGCTACCTCAACACGCCCGCGGAGGGCGAGGAGTTCTGCATCTACAACCGCAACCCCAACGCCTGCAGCTACGGCGTGACGGTGGGCGTGCTCGCCTTCGTCACCTGCCTGCTCTACCTGGCCCTGGACGCCTACTTCCCGCAGATCAGCAGTGTGAAGGACCGCAAGAAGGCCGTGCTGTCCGACATCGGCGTCTCCGGTGAGGGCGGCCCCGGCCCCGGTCCCGCTGACCGCCCCCCCCATGCACACCTCCCAGGCGGGTGCAGGGACAGGCTGGGGGGCCGCGGGGAAGCGTGGGGCCGGTGCTGGCCTGCAAACCCCGTGGCCGCCACCCTGGGCGCCCCCTGAGAACTAAACAGGGCGGTGACTGAAGGCGCTGGCGCACAGTAGGTGGCCTGGGAGGGTCAGACCCTGGAGCTGGGAGCCTAGGTGGCCTGCTGCTCTTGCCCGTCAGAACCGGCCTTGGCAGAGGTACCGTGACCCCAGTCCCTCTAGTCGGAGAATCTGATTGGTGAGAGCTTAGGCTGAGCGTCAGTAGAAACACATCAGCCTCGCTAGCCTAAGGCCATGGCCTCGGGTTTGTGGCAAGGACCTCCCTCCATTTCCGGGCCTGGGACTCAGGATGAGCCTGGCGGCAGGTCTGGGGGCCCTTAGACCTGAAGGAACTAGAACAAAATTCATGGTTCTCAAACTGGGTCCCACCGAGCCTCGGGGTGCCCAGCAGTGCCTGTGGGCGGGGCGGGGCTCCAGAGGCCCCAACGCTGGGCACCCATGCTTTCTGAGCAGCTCGGGACTCTCTGGAGGGGCCTGGGCACCACAGGTCTTGTCTGTGGGGCTCCCAGGGCCCCTCACTGACTGACCCCCGGGGACTTTGTGAGGCCGCAAGCGCATTGGAGGGTGAGGCTCAGACCCGCTGGAGCTGAGCCACACCCTGTCCTAGCCCCCGCCCTCCCCCCCCCCCCCCCGCCCTGACCTCTGGGGGGCTGCAGGCAGGGGTGGTGGGGGTCAAGGCGCTCCTCCCGGAAGCTGCAGGCCTCGGCGGACGGGGGCCAGTCAGGGGAAGCCGGGAGGTCTGTGCGTGGCCGAGGTAGAGAAAGGCCGGCTCTGCTGATGGACGTTCTCTCTCTGTCCCTCCCTCCCCGCCTCCCCTCTCTCCCGTCTCTCCCTGCCCGGCTCTCCCCGGGCCTTCGCTGGATCCTTCCCGGGAATGACCTCCCTGTGCTCGCCCCCCTTCCCTGTGCTCCCCTCTCTGCCCGCCTCGGGGGTGGGGACGTGCTCTCGAACCTCCCCCTGTTCCTTGGTTCCCCATTTCCTCCCGCCTCACCCCCCTCCCCACGCGGGACCGTTCCGCCCGACACCCCAGCCTTCTGGGCCTTCCTCTGGTTCGTGGGCTTCTGCTACCTGGCCAACCAGTGGCAGGTCTCCAAGCCCAAGGACAACCCGCTCAACGAGGGGACGGACGCAGCCCGGGCAGCCATCGCCTTCTCCTTCTTCTCCATCTTCTCGTGGGTGAGTACCATCTGCCCACCAGGCCCCGGCCTGCGCTGCCAGCGAGGCAGGGACTCCGTCCTGCCCTGCCCTCCGCCCCGGGGGCTGCCCCCGAGGAAGGAGACGGCTCCCGTTGCCAGAGAGGACAGTCAGGTGGGGAGGGGGAGAATGGCAGACCCTGCGTGGTGCAGAGCGCCACCACGGTCGCTGGGTGGGTGTCCTCTCTCCTCTGTAACAGGCGGCAGCGCTGAGGCTTCACGGCAGGGTGAGGCTCCGAGGTCTTAGGCTGGGAAGGAGCCGGGCTCGGAGGCAGGAGACCTGGGTCACACCCGGGAGTGGCCTCTAGCTCTCCGGGCCGCTGTCTTCCCATCTGTAAAATCGGGTGGTTAGACTGGGGGAAGGGTGTCGCCAGCTCAGGTGCCCCCCTGGCAGGCCAGGCGGCATGTCCATGCCTGACCCATGGGCACCCTCTCCTGTTCGGAAGTGGACAGGGCCCTACGGGGGCCGGGACTTGCGCTTTCCAGAGGAGCCAGGCTCGGAGCTCCTATGGGAGTGCTCTGGGCGTGCGGGCGCTGTATCGCGTTAAGGAAAAAGGCCATGAGGGTCAGGGAGAGCGTGTCTCTGTGCGGCCAGGCCGGACACAGCCCCGTGGGCTCTGAGCCCCTGGTCGTGAGTGCCATAGGTGAGACAGCAAGACGGCCCTGGAATGAGGCTCCAGGGACCCTCAGTGCACCCCTTCCCTCATCTCCTGCGCGTGCCCGGGTCGCATCGCCCTCACCCCAGGGCCCCCTCTCCCAGGCCTTCGAGCAGCCCTAGGCCGAGCCTTCCGCAGGTGCCCCATGCCGCACCCTCCTGGCCTGCCCTGGCGACTTCTTTCTCTGGCGGGGGGCCCTGGGTATTCCTTTCTCAGGGGACCCCTCGCCCTGATGCAATATTGGGAGCTAGAGTTTGCAAGGGGAGACCCGTGGTCCAGGCCCCAGCAGGCCGGCTGTGGCCGCTCCAGACCTCTGTGACCTCCAGGCTGGGAGGAAAGACCCGGTGACCCCGGGAATTCAGGCAGAGAAGCCCCCTGGCCTGCAGGGAAGAGCTAGGGAGCAGCAAGCCCTGAGGTGGAGGAGTGGGCGATTGGACCCTGAACTCACAGGGGAGGGCGATGGGCACCGCGGCCACTGAAGCCTGCCGCCCTGCCGGCCTCACCCCCGCTCTCTCCTGGCAGAGCCTGAGCGCAGCCCTGGCCGTGCGGAGGTTCAAGGACCTCACCTTCCAGGAGGAGTACAACACGCTGTTCCCCAGCTCGGCACAGCCGTAGGCCTGCCCGGCGCCCGGGGCAGGGGCCCTGGGTCCCGTCCCCTGGCCAGGGTGTGGGCAGCCTGCCGCCTGCACCGGCCAGGATGCCAGGGCAGCCAGGGCAGCCAGGGTCTTGACTCGAGAGGCCAGTCAAGACCCACCACTTACCAGTTACCTCTTTTGTTTACTCTTCTTGTATTCATCCCTTCAGCAAACGTTTATTGAGCAGCTGCTTTGTGCCTAGTGATGAGTCAGAGGGCTCCCCGGCCCCAGGAGCCCACGTGCAGGGCAGGGGAGACCCCAAACTGCAGTCTCCCTCAGGGGACCGCCACGGGCCGTTAGAGGGTGGGAGGTGGCCCCCTGTGCTGGCTGCCGGGTGCTGAGCCACGGACAGTGAGGGCCTGAAGGCTGACCTTACAGCCCCAGTGGAGGCTGGCCGCCAAGGGAGGCCTGGCTGAGGACATCAGAGGACTCCAGTCCTGATCTGCTCCCATGTGCTGTGTGACCCTGGGCAAAGCCCTGCACCTCTCTGAGCCTCCGTCTGATTCCCTGGACTGAGGAGTGAAAATGGACCAATCTCTCAGGGACATTATGTGGATGAAACAAAGGCTGGCACAGAGATGCTCAATAAATGTGGGTTCTTTTGTTCCTTCATTTGTTCCCTCATTCATTTATTCACTCAGTCATGTACTCATTCATGTATTCACTCACTCTGCCCAGGGAGGCAGGGACACTTCCAGGGTCTGACTTCGGGGTGATTCTCACGTGGCGAATCCTTGTGCCGCTGAAGGACCGTGGCCTCCGGTTCTGCACAGGTTCCCTCCGTGGGGCCCTCGGCTGCCTGGGCAGGAACCCACCTGTCCCTCCTCGCTCTGCGGAGCTGAGGAGGTGATGGAGCATGAGCAGGCCCCAGAGCAAAGCGCAGAGGGAGCCTCCTGGCACCAGAAACATACGCATGCAAACTGCTCGTGGCGCAGTGAGAGGCCTACTGTGTGCCTGAGCTGAAGGAGCAGGCACGCGGACACCAGGTTCCTGGGCTCCGAGCAGAACTCCCCGCCGCCTCTCCACAACCCAGTCAGAGGGGCCCAGGCGCTCTGTGCTCCTGCTGGGGGCCCCTTGAACCGGATGGCGAGGAGGCTTGGCGAGGAGGGCAGAGGAGTGCCCCATTCGCACTAGGCGCCTGTGGTCAGGCCGCCCCAAAAGGCTCTGCAGAGGCTGTGGCTCCAGGCCTCTGTCTCCCTGCAGGAGAGCAGCCTGGACAGGCGAGCCGGGCTCCCAGAGAGCCAGGTCTGCAGATGCTTCTCAGGGACTCATCCATCCCTTCCCCACGTGCTCCTGCCAGGCTGTCCCCCTCCCTGCTCCTCAGGCTCCTGCGTGTGAGCGGCCGGCAGCCAGGACCCCACTCCAACATAGAACATACAGGAGGGCCCCTGCTTCCCTGGGCCATCTCCTCCCGGCCTGCCTCTCCCAGGCCCCCGACACTCCGCTTTCAACAGCCACGTCCCAGGAAGGGCTGCCCCTCGGAGCTTTCTCCACTGACACAAACCGCAAATTAATGCCCAGTCACTGGGCTTCTGGAACTTTCTGGAATTAAACACCAAGCACCTGCGTCAGACCCTTTGCATGATGGCCCTTTGGTGCTTTGTCAGGGGGCTGACCAAGAGAAAGAGGTGTGGCCCGGGAAGGCCTGTGCTCAAGTCTGTGTTCTGGCGCTAATCCTGCCTTGAGGGCTCCCTTCTCTAGGCTTCAGTCTTCCCAGCTCAGAAATGGGGATGTGGGTTCTCATCACAGGCAGGTTACCTGGCTGGAGAGACTCTGGAGAGGTCCCAGTGTAAACCTGTAAGCTACTTCACAGTGACATTGGACTGACATTACTCCCTAGCTTGGTGTGGTCAATGTCATTGTCCGCAATGACAATATAGTTGCTTTTTCTGAAAAATAACTCCCCACCTATGCGTGGATGCTGGAGCCACGTTGTTCCCGCCTGAAAAAAAAAAAAAAAAAAAAAGGGGGCCTCAGTGGTCACATAGGAAGGTTGGTGAATGTGGCGTGTAGGGTCGCCCCTGGGAATCCCAGCGTACGTTAAATGGCCAAGGCTCTGACAGGTCCTTGCTCCTGAAACGTACTCTGCTTAACAGTTTCCCAAACGCATCGGACCACGTGGATTCCATTAGAATTAGGTTCAGCCGCAAATAACAGTGGTTTAAACGAAGCCCGAGCCTGGGAAGACGGTCCAAGGCTGGCGTAGTGGCTGGCTCCAGAAGTCTCCAGTGACCCAGGCCTCTTTCATCCCGACAGCGTGACTCCTGGACCTCACGGTCCATTTTAGCAACGAGAGCTCCAGCCATCACGTCTGCATTCCAGGCATCAGGTCAAGAGTGAACGGAGACCTTGGGGTGGTCTCTTGGCCAGAACTTAGTTGTTTTGCTTGCATCTAGCTGCAAGGGAGCCGGACGCCTTAGGGGATGGCAGCGGTGCTCTGTCCCGCCGGGAAACTTCCTTTCCCCGGTCCGCCTAACAGCCCTGAGGACACGGTTCGAGAAGGAAGCTGTGGGCTTTTGGGCCATAGAATTTTTGGAGGCCACGGGGCGACCTCTGGGTTTGGGGGCCACGGGGCGGGTGACTTCTGAAGTTCTGGACAGCTTCCCTTCCATCACCGGTCACCGTGGTTCGTCTTTGGTGCTTCAGGATATTTAACCCTCTGTTGCCTGTGTCTGGTGAACTAACCACCACTAACCGCGTGCTCTTGTCTGTCTCTCCCCTAACCTCCCCCTCCCTCCTGTCTTTGTCCCCCCCGGCCCTCGTCCCCAGGCAGGCCAGGCTGTGCTGGCCTTCCAGCGGTACCAGATTGGCGCCGACTCGGCCCTCTTCTCCCAGGACTACATGGACCCCAGCCAGGACTCCAGCATGCCTTACGCCCCCTACGTGGAGCCCAGCGCCGAGCCGGATCCCACCGGCATGGGAGGCACCTACCAGCAGCCAGCCAACGCCTTCGACGCCGAGCCCCAGGGCTACCAGTCGCAGGGCTACTGAGCCGCAGTGACCGCTTCCTCCTCCCCCGACTCCCCCCCAGTCCCCGCCTGCCCCAGCCCCAACTGCCCCTTCCCCCTCCTCCCACGCCCCGCCCCTCCCTCCCAGGCTGCCCTGCCCAGCACCTCATCAGCCTCCCAGTCGCTCCACTGAGGCCCAGGGCGGCTTGGGGCGGGAGGGGCATTGGGGAGTTGCAGGGTGTGTGTCTACATGTGTGTGTCCAGCAGGAGCCTAAGGTGTTTGCATTCATCCATTGTGTCATCGAGCATCCGCGGAGCACCTGTGTGCGGAGCCCGTGCTCGGCACAGGTGTGAGAGAGAAGGTGTCTGGGAAGGGGGAGGGGATGCGAGGGGGGGGCCCTTTTCGTGCCAGCGGTAGGAAAGGTGAGAGTGACGGGTGACGCTGGGAAGGTCAGGCTGCAGACTGAAGACCCCCAAACCCCAGGGCCACCACCTGCTGGCTGTGACGCAGCAGCCCTGCGATGGACATAGGGCTGTCTGTGGTTGTGGTTGTGGTTGTGGTTGTAGAAACTGAGGCCCAGAGAAGTCAAGGTCAGTCGTCAGGGTCACTCAGGCAGCCAGTGATGGAGCTGGGGCCGAGCCGAGGCTGCCTGATGGCCGGGCACCTGCCGTCCCCTGTCCCGGCCTTCCCCAGCCCCCAGCCTGGGGCTCCAGTGCTTGGTGCCCCCATTATTCCGGGAGGCCCCGGAACCTTCGCCCTGAGGCACCCCGATTCTGCTGCAAGCTGGGGGCCTGTTCCGCCCTTGCTCTTCCCCAACTGGACAGCCCTGCCTTCCGGCCCTTCACCATGTCCCCCCAGGCCCTTCCAGGGGGGCAGTCCCCTGCATACCACTGTGCTGTGTGTGCCTGCGGGGGGCTCAGCACCTTTTCCGTGGCTCCCGAAGGACTGACCCCTGTCCCTACCCCTAGGAGAGGCCAAGGCCCTGCCTGGGTGTCTTGGCCCCAGCTGCCCAGCAGGTGGCCCATTCCCTGCCCTGTGACCTCCCAGGAAACACCTGGTCTGGGACATTGTCTTGCCCTCCTCTGGGGCCAGTCAGGGGCCGGGGGCTCTAGTAGCCACGGGCAGGAAGGGCCCTCCCCTGGCCGTCAGGAGGCCCACGAGGGGTGCTCTCCCTGCGGGGGGCTGAGTAGAGAACAAGGACTCTGGACCCACATGGCCAGCCTAGAGCTGCCGCCGTGGTGCGCTGCCCCAGGATGATCGGTGAGAGCCCGGTGCCGGGGAGGCCCGGGGAGACCACGGGCCGCGGAGGAGAGAGCAGCAGGTGCCCCCGGTGTACAAGGAAGACGGGGGGGGGGGGCACAAGGTGGGCTCCTTATTGAGCCTCGAGGGACAAAGAGTCCTCGGGCAGTGGGGAGCGGTGTGGCTGTTCTCACACCGCTCCCCACTGCCCGAGGGGGAGTGGGGGAGCCCTCAGAGGCGGTGATGGCACTCTGGGGCGCCCGCGCTGGGACAGGAGCCGACAGCCACTCGGAGACGAGCACTAGGCCCCCCACGGACCCGGGTGCCCGATGGGCTGAGGCCCCGGGGGGTCCTGAGGATGGAGGAGTCGGCACGGCGCTGAGGGAAGGAGAAGGAACTTCCTGGCCAGAGAAGTAGCATTGTCCCCACTTAACCGGAGGGGAAACTGAGGCTCGGGGAGTTAGCAGTGGGGCATGGATTCGGACTCAGGTCTGTCCACGCCCTCCCCAGGGGCAGCACTGCGGGGAGAGGACCCCAGACCAGCCTCCGCATCTGAGGAAGGGCCGTCTCCCAGAGGTGTGGGAGCAGGAAAGGGGGTGGAGGTGTTTCTGGCAGAAGCTCTGAGCCCCTGCAGGAGGCAGTGAAATGTCCTTCCCGTCCCCACTCCCCACCGGGAGCCGCCCCTGCTGACGGGCACTGGGAGACCCCGGGTGAGCCCCACTGAGATGGTGCCGGGCTGGAGGGCAGGGCACATTGCAGCTTCAGCCGGCCCCTGGGTGTTCATTGCCGACTCCCTGCCGCCTGGGCTGGGAGCGTTTACTAGACCCCGGCAGGAGTGGGGGTCACTGACTCCTCACGCAGCCTTCCTGACTGGTCCTGGGGTACAGCCCAGACTCCCACCATCAGGCAGGGGCCAGCCCATGGTGGAGCTGAGAAATGGGGCGAGAGGTGTCAGAGGGCAGGGCGTGAGTGCATGGAGGGGGCCGCGGCTCCTGACTCCCCTCCTGGGAAGCTGTTCTTTCTGTTGGCTGAGGACCCCGGGGGCCCAGCCGTATCCCCCTTCCCCTCCCTGTGCCCCTTCCTCGGAGAAATGCCCCTGACCTTGCAGAGTTTGGGTTTCCTTCTCCCATCGAGCACCAGACAGCCCGGCAGGCTGGTTCCACATGCGTTTAGAGTTGCAGGGACCCTCGAGGCGAGAGTCAGCCAGAAGGCAGTGACTTGCCAAAGTCAGGACAGAGCCGGCGGCTCCGGGCCGCCTGGCTCCCGGTCTGCTCTGGGGTGTGACATGGAGACTAATTCCCAGAGATGGCATTCCCTCCCCCTCCAGCCTTCCCTGGTGATCCTTTATCTTCAAAGACTTTGTCAGGGTCCCAGGCCTCCCCCATGTGACCAAGAACCCCCACTTGTTACCCCTTAGGGGCCCCCAACTTTGAACCAAGACCCCTTTTGACTCTAAGGAGCACGAAGGGGAGCTCCCCTCTCGAGTTGGGAGGATGGGCTGGCCCGCCGGCTCCCAGCGCTGCGCCTCCACGTGACCCTCCCGCCCCCCGGTGCCCGCCCTCCTGCAGCGTTACTGCCTGTGTATAGTATAAATATATATATTTTCTATATATAAGATGTATAATATAAGGCTCCGCAAATATATCTGTGTGTGTGTGCGTGCGTGTGTGGGTGTGTGTGTGTGTGCGCGCGCGCAGTGAGTGGTGGTCCCCATCCCGGGCCCCGCTCTGAGTCCCCCACGACCTGGCTAAGCCTCTCAAGAGTGAACCCCGTGGCCCCTGGCTCCCTCCTCTGTGACCTCCGTCCATTTGTGATGAACCAAGTGAAGGTGGTGACTTCCGGTGACAGTAATAAAGTGCAGACTCAAACCCACCGCGGACTGCAGCGTGTGGCCGTGTTCTCTCCGTTCCTCACGTGTGGCTGGGAGCGCCCACCGCCATCTCCCCGGACCTGGGACATGTCTGTTCATCTTTGTTTAGGAAAAAGTCATTACAGTGGAAGTCGGCGTCCCCCACTTTGCATATGTGCACATGCTACACGCACAAACACGCGTGCACATTCATTGACATGACCTGTTCTGGACCCTTCCCCAACCTCTGGACGCAACCAAGATCAGGAGCTTGGCCTCATTCCTTCCAGACCATTTCCATGCTTCTGTGTTTGCATATGTTTGTAGGGCACTGTTTTGTGTTTGTTTGTTTTTAACTCTTTATTGAAAGTATTACATATGCCTCATTCAGGACACTATTTTAAAAAATATATTTTTATTGATTTCAGAGAGGAAGGGAGAGGGAAATAGAAACATTAGTGATGACAGAATCATTGATCGGCTGTCTCCTGCACACCTGAGGATCGAGCCTGCAACCTGGGCATGTGTCCTGACCAAACCATGACCTCCCGGTTCATAGGTTGACACTCAACCACTGAGCCACCAGCCAGGCTACAGGACACCTTTAAAAAAAAAAAAATATATATATATATATATATATATATATATATATATATATATATTATTTTTTTACAGAGAGAAAGGGAGAAGGATAGAGAGTTAGAAACATCAATGAGAGAGAAACATCGATCAGCCACCTCCTTGGTGCCCGCAATCAAGGTACACTCAATCACTTTTATATATATATATATATATATATATATATATATATATATATATATATTATTGATTTTGTACAGAGAGGGAGAGATAGTTAGAAACATCATGAGAGAGAGTCATCGATCAGCTGCCTCTTGCACACCCTCTACTGGGGATATGCCTGCAACCAAGGTACATGCCCTTGACCGAAATTGAACCTGGGACCCTTCAGTCCCCAAGCCGACGCTCTATCCACTGAGCCAAACCGGTCTTGGCCACTTTTTAAAAAATATATATTTTATTGATTTTTTTACAGAGAGGAAGGGAGAGGGAGAGAAACATCCATCAGCTGCCTCCTGACCACGGTTAGGACACTTTATAAAGTTAGTGGCCCCCAGGCCCTGTACAGGGCCCAACACCGCGCTGGCCCTCGGAGTTCCGCATTGGACAAGGAGCCTTGCCGTCTCGGGGAGATGACGGTAAGCCCACAGGCAAGCAAACGTGAGCTGTGCGAAGCGCTGAGAGGCTGTGGGCAGAGCCGTGGAAGCCTGGCGCGGGCCAGCTCCCCCGGCGGTGACCCCGAGCCCGGGCTCCGGGAGGAGAGGGCTTTCCCAGGAGGAAGGGGCGGGGAGGGCACCGGAGACCCACGTCCTGGCCCGGGAAGAGCTCGCGGGAGGGGATGAGGGAGAGGCAGGCCGGAGGGTGCCCGGGCCCCACACTCAGGGCCTTGAGGCCTCCGAGCAGGTCTGGGTCATACTGAGTATTGGGGAACCTACAGAAGGGTGAGTGACCATCTGGGTGGGAGCTTTCATTTTCTTTATTTTTATTTTTAAATATATTTTATTGATTTTTTTTTTTTTTACAGAGAGGAAGGGAGAGGGATAGAGAGCTAGAAACATCGATGAGAAACATCGATCAGCTGCCTCCTGCACACCCCCCGCTGGAGATATGCCCACAACCAAGGTACATGCCCTTGACCAGAATCGAACCTGGGACCCTTGAGTTCGCAGGCTGATGCTCTGTCCACTGAGCCATACCGGTTTCAGCTGGGTGGGAGCCTTTAAAAGGCCACTCCAGTGGTCAGATGGTGGTCAAGAGGTTGCTGCACCTCCTTCAGACAGGAAGATCACCATGGCATTGGGAAGAGGAGAAGTCAAGATATATTTGAGGAAGTGGCTAATCAGTACGTGATGGACTGAGCAAAGGCTGGTGAGGT